GCACAGCTTCCGAGAGCCTCGTGAGGCCGCCTGGCGCAGTGCATTGTGTGTGTGAGGGGGGGGGGGGGTACCCGCTCGCCTTTGTAAACTCCCGAATGGGTGGCGCTTATTTATCATTCCTTCAACGGAGCTGCAGAAAAACCAAAGGTGTCATTGAACTTACGATACTACCTTATACCATCCGATGAAAACCTCGGAAAAAGTGAAACTCTGATGAAGCTGAACACACCGCGTTGAAATTGGGCTGCAGTGACTGCACAGCACAGACGTAAGTTTAGTCTCTTCACACTGACCTCCTAATAAATTGAAAGCGGCGTGACAAACTTGGCATACAAGCAAAATAAATGCGAACGCTATATACAAATGGACGCGAATACGTGGATAGTGGTAGTTTGCCGACAGCTTTGAGATGACACGAATGCCTCAGCAAATGCGCATTTTACCGGTAACATACATATAGAGTTCGTGCCGTCACCTTACTTTTAATGTCATAGAAAGGCAGCTGGTCACCATCCACATTCACATAGCACTCGCTCAAAGACATCCTCTTTGACTCTGCTTGGTCCAGCATAGGTTATCAATGAATCGCTCACGGTTCTGATAAAATTCACACTACGGTAACCTTTTTATTATCTTTTTAGGGGAGAAGAGGGTCGAAAAACGCAAAAATTTTTTTTCAAATTTACTGATTTTTATTTTTGCCTGTTTTGATAAAATTAGTAGCTCTACCGTTATGAAAAAAAATGCAGGTCGAGAATTCACTGGGAATGCTTTAACATTGCATCTAAAGAGCACGATGTGCCTGTTAAAAGGTTCAAAAGGTTCAGTCTTCGAGCCCCTAGCCGCCGATATTGCGCCGCCACTCGCCATTGTTGATCGCGCAAGCCGAAGAGTCGAACTTCACTCTTGAAACAACAACAGTTTTCCTCGCTGATGAGGCGGAAGAAATAAAAAGCACGCTTCTGCGTATTTTTCGAGCGCGCGACTGGTTTATCACGTGATACAGATCGAGGACCACCATTGGTCGCTGCGCACCTGTATGTGCTGTGAAGCCTATTTGCAAGGTCCATATCTTGTTGAGCAGAGCAGCTGAACGATGCTTTTCTCGTGTAATTATCTCCGTTATGAATGAAAATGCATTGCTCGCAAGTGAAAGCCGTTGTGTGGCTTTCACTTGCGACCAATGCATCAAAATCAAATCTTGCGATCAATGCCAAACTTGCGGTCAATGCATCAAAATCAAAACTAATGCATCAAAAGTCGTTCACACCCATCAGCCGGAAAGTTCGTGATGCGGCAATGAATGAGGTCAGCACCAATCTTGCGAGGTTGAAAGAGCTCGCAGTGAGATAATTTAGCAGTGACGACATTGCCATTATGGGGGACGGTATGTGGCACAAACATGGCCGCAAAATGGCATGACACTGTACTTAAATGTGATTTCACAGTCCTGACGAACTTCTTCCTAGCTTGCACTTGGCATAAGGCTCTGCCAGATGGAGCGGAAGTTTGGCAAGAGTTTCATGGCCCTGTCTGTGAGCGAAATGTCTGTGAGGAGTCGCCTCGAAAAAGCCGAGAGGGACAAACTCTTGGGGCTGGCGTATTTTTGTCGCAGTGGCTACTACAAGAAGGATTGTTCTTTTTGGTGTGTAACTTTCATCAGATTTAATTATATTTTTCATAAATAATAACTCAATTTTAGCTTAAAAACTAGTTTTTCTCAAAACACAAATTTGGCCATTTTTTCAATGTGCACCTACTTTTTCGGGCACTTCTAGTGCTCGGATCTGCATAAAATTTTGCCCAATGTTTTTCTAAACTATGAAAAATGCAATTATCTAGTTTAAATTTCAATATTTTATTGTATTATAAAACTTCTATGTAAACATTTACTAGGGTGGGTGAAATATGGACTTTTACGTCTATTATTTTCCACGCCTATTACATATTTTGTATGCGCTTCCTAATCAGTTATTTGCATTCTACACTTTATTTCAAACATTATCAACTATGAATGGTAAAAGTTTATGAAAGTTAAGGGATGAAACGAGGGGGGGGGCAAAGGGTTAAGGTGTTTACTTTGTCATTTTGCAGAGCTAAAAGTAATCAACTTGCAAAAAAAAACTAATATATTTGAAATCAGCATAAAAAGTTCCCTAATCAGCTCAAGTTTCATCGCTTTAGGGTGAATATTTAAAAAAAAGTGTCTCCGAGTAGTATGTGCCCTTAAACCTTCGGAGCAAGTCATAGGTGACGCTGCACGTGGAGGGCGACCAGATAACGCGCGTAGAGCACGTGGATGGGCTGAGATATCGCCGGCAGAAGGCGGAAGCGGGGTACCAAGAGACCGGCTTTTGCTTCAAGGCGGCGAAACACACACGGCACAGCAGCCCCTGACCGTTGGGAGGTCTATACGACAACGAACGTCATGGGCCCCCGCGAAAACGTAGCCAGGAGTGAAACGTGGCAAACACGGGATGCGACGTGATTGCATTAGACCTGCCGGTTAGGCAGACCCGAAACAGTCACCTGTGAAACCAATGCACGTGCCATCTATCGGTAACTGCAGCAAGCATATCAGTTTCAACGCTTGGTGGCGCTGACCTCAGTCCAAGAGAACTGACGCCACGCGTCGGAGCGTTCGATTGAAGGGTGCAAACGGCTGTACGTATTCGCTCATCTGCATTGACATTTCACCAATTATTTGGAGAGTTGACCGAAAACTTAACGCTAGCGCATACTCCCCGAACCCCACAACGCCAGCTGCAACAACAAAAAAACATACTAACCAATTACCCATTTACACGTGCTGCTTAAGGAATGCATCACCTCCTGATCATCGTCGGCACCACAGCGGGAATGTCTCGTGGGTAGTCACTGCTTTATGTGCCAGCCATTTCGAGGTTGACAGCTTGGCGATTATTTAATAGCGCAGTTACAGCCACGAAGCGTTGCTGTGCTCTGAACGTGTACCACGAAGAACAGCAATACCCTTGGTACTGAGTGCATAAGCTGGCTGCATACACCACCGCAGATCTCTACCCCCCCCTCCTCCTAAGACACCAGCGGCGAAACATCGCATACGCTACGCAGTTCTGCAGCTTTGTGGTGTAAAAGTCACAGCCTCCTTGCGAAATTGATCTATAGGCAATGGTTACCGGGTTCCGCGGGAAAGGCGAAAGCAACGACCCCTATTGCGCCAGGCCTGCTCTTATCTCATGCTTGCTTGCCCGCAGTGCTCGCTCACCATCAGCTGTGCAGTCTCCAAAATCGTAGCCACCTTGATGGCCTCCGCTACAGATAATTGAAGATTGTGAGTGCACTTTTAAAACACGAGTGCGAGAGCAATTATCGAATTTAATTGAAGCGCCTTGTGCTACGTGGCTATAATGCAGCAGTGTTTAACCAGTGAAAATGGTCACTGGATCGAAATGTGCGCATAAAAGCTAAACTGCGTTGTATAAAACAGCGTTATGGTCTACAGCGGTCAATGGTGCTCAATAGCGCGCAGTATCCGGTGCTTCAACTATTGATGTGGCGTGAAATATTTTGACTTGGACTAGCTGGATAATTGCATTAAGGTCATAGGAGTTGCAGGGGCAAAATAGACTACAACGCACATCCCACCGTATCGCCCTTGTGACCTCGCTATGACTTCTGTTGAGCACCAAGATCCATATGGGCCGATTAAGAAACTAGTAATTTTAGTGCATTGTTTTTAATACTGCTTTATTTTATGGTAAAAGCAAATGTTCCAACTACAAAACGCATAATGAATGAGCACTATTCCACTATACAGAGCTGCTTCCTTGCATACAAAGGAGTGTCTTGCCAGCAGATTGTGCATGCGTTTCGGCGCGGAGAAGAAATCGCACGCGGAATGACGTTCACTTCCAAACATGGTTGCACGTCCTGGCATGCTGCTAAAGCGAAGGATTCTTAAGATGCAGCAAACTTATTTTTCCATCCAGATGTTTATTTAGCTGTGCCCTTACTATGATTTAAAAGACAAAAGAATTGGCGCCGCTGCATGAAAAGCTGTCCTCGTCATTGTTAAAAACATGTGGTAAAATGCTTAACCGCGTGCACAGCATGTGGCTGAACGTTTTATTTTGTCCCTCGACATGCTGGTTTTGATTGTTGCTGTGGAGGATCGGGATCAGACAGAATTTTTCGACAGTTTCTACGTGCTCCCGGCGCCTCACCGTCTTCGCACCTTTCATTTTAACCGTGCTTGATTGCGCAAGTGGCAGGAATTCCTTCGCTGTGCCTACCTTTTTTTGAGGTCGAGTTACTTGAGTCGCCATCTCGTTCGTTAGCTGGAATCTCCATGTTACCTTCCCTAGGAAGCTCCTCCATCTCACCTTCGCTAGAGCAATATTCCATCTCGTTTTCACTGTGATCTTCATGCTCTTTCTTGCCTTTTGTGGTAGGTGACGTCTCCTCCTCATCTTCGCTAGAGCGCTAGGCATCGTCCTCGCTTTCGGTGTTGTACTTATTCGCCATCTCCTGCCCTTCGCTGAACTGCGCGGCAGCTTGTTCCTCGCCTTCGCTGGTGCACTTGGCCGCATCTTCACCTTCGCTGGAGGACTCGGGAGCCTCAACGATTTTGTCCATGGCTTTTTCCTTGCCAGCTGCACGCGCTTTGGTCTTCGCCAAACTGGCAGTACCTGTTTTTACTTTCTCGCTGTCAGCGGTAGCAGCACTTCGGTTTTTTGCACTGCCTGTAGGCCATCCCGCCAGTCCTTCGTCCCTTACCCAACTCGTCTGAAGCCTTGGTAGTTGCTTCGCCCACCGCGCCACCTTTCCGGGCCCTTTGCGTTTCCCACAGTGCTCTTAGCAGCCTGCGACTCCCCACCAGCACCCTTACGACCACTACTTCCGCATCGCGCCTTTAGGATCTCTTCACCTCCGACAAGTTGCACTTTTCGTCCTCCGTTCCGACTAGGGCCTTGGCTGGGCCTTTGTCTCTCCGCCAGAGCCTTGGCTGGCTTTGTCCTCTACTCCGCCAATCCCTTGGCTGCCTTTGTCTCTCCGCCAGAGCCCTTGGCTGCCTTTGTCTCTCCGCCAGAGCCCTTGGCTGCCTTTGTCTCTCCGCCAGAGCTCTTGGCTGCCTTTGTCTCTCCGCCAGAGCCCTTGGCTGCCTTCATGTCTCCGCCAGCCCTTTTTCTGGCCGTCGCCTCGCCAGATCCGACTTTCTTTGTTCCGCCCTCTTCTGCTTTAGCTTTCGTTTTCGGGGCATTTGCAGACTTCCAAGCAGCCGGTCGTTGTTTTGCTGGTGAGCCTGCAGCCATAACTTTTTTGCGAGGTTTCACCTTTGTCACCAGCTTCACTCTCCCGGTTACTCCTTCAGCATGTTCTGTTGCTTTAGTCCTCACCAAAATGTTGTTCTCTAGGGCCTTAACAAAAGTCCTCTTAAACTTTGCTTTGAACAGCTGTGTGTTGATTTCGGGATATTTGCCTGCAAAATTTAAAATTCATTTAAAGAATAGAAAACCGCGTAAGTTTAATTTACACAAAATCTAGTAACAAGGTGTTTGGAAGACAAGATAAGGTTGAATAATGTGACGTACTAAGGCAACGACAGCTTTCAAAAATTCCTTAGCAGTGCACTGGGTTACGCGGCGATGTGGTGCCTTTTAACGTTGCCTAGATTCAAACACATCAGCATTGTTGCTTTCGGTCCCCCTTCATATACGAACAGTGATCCTAATGACAACGACCAGTAAGATCATTTGAATTAGCCTAATTACAATCAACATTGTTCCAGTCCGTTCCAGATTGAAAATCCTAGCATCCATAAAAAAGGCTGAGGCTTCAAAGGAACTTGTTTTGGTGTTCTAGTACAAAGCAACTGATCACTGGTATTTCGTTGAGGACGGCCATTTTCTCGTAAGAATGAACACAGCAACATTTAGTACCGGCCTGGTACTTGAAGTTTGCACACATGAAGTCCTCTTTGAACAGTTTGTAAAGTGCGCCTGAGGTGACATGCTCACAATGAAGACGTTTCGCTAAACACAAGTACGTCAACCGCCAGTGCGTGGAACCTATGCTTGAGGATAACGCGTCACGCCAATGAAAGGATTAGGTGAGGAAGTTGGCATGAATAACTCACAATAAATAGACGATATTGTCAATATGGTACTTGAAGCTGGCAATATATTGGTTCATCCAGCACAGATTTCAAAGGTGTCAGTCAGATTGATGGGCGGAAAATAAGAGCGGTTGGGGGAATTCCCATTGCCGCTCACAACGAATAGAATCTAAAGTGTTGACAATGGCTCACGACGGAATTACAGAAATGGAATAAAGATGAGAAAATTACTACTTTAGGCTTACACCCGTGCTTATCTAAATCTAAATGAGCCATGTGGTTTCTGAGCAGACTATGCATTACAATCAATGTCGGCTTCTGCTCCGATAGCCTGCCTTAGTGTTGCTTTAAGATAAACACACTTGCTGGTGCTGTTTAACCATTATATTCACCCATAAAGTTCATCGCGAACCTTACCATCACCCACGCCTGAACACTTATTCGATTGGCTGCCTCCTCTATTGCCATGTGCACTAGTGTCTCTCGCCAGAGATGCCACTAGAGCAATATTTGGCGGAGTGGATGACAGCAATGAAACAGCCTAGATCTCGGCGTGGCAAACTAAAGCATGCAAAGCGAATTGAAATATTTCAAAAACTGAACAACGCTTTTCAACAACGCGGGTACGACCAGCCTCTGGTGGAACAACCTCAAGCGAGATTTCCAGACGTGATCCACCTTCGAGAATACATCACTGAACGAGTTTGACTGGCTTTGTGAACGTAAGCTGCGTGCAGGATATCGTTTGTGAGAATGAGCGTAGCGTGTGGATGAATTATTCAGTTATGAATTGTGAAGCCATCGTTTTCTGCAAGAGTGAGCAAGATCTTGTCAGAGACGAACATAATCGAGATCATCATACGGGAAATAGAGGATGATGTTCTTTAAAGTGCCGCTCACCAAACTTCCCAGATCAGGGGCAGAAATGCTTAAACTGCGTTAGTGTTGCGAAGACGTCTGCGGCAGCGATCGTTGACTTGTCATATAGCGCTACTGCACCGAAAACCATTTGTGAAGTAGCGCGTTGCACCGTGTTTGTTTTCAGCGCCTCATAAGTTTGAAGGCTCTGCAAAGCAGTGAACGATAGCCGAGCGAAAAACAAAGGATCAACAAACCACCGGACCCCATGTACAATGTGCGAAGTGTGTTATATGCAGTATACCTCAACAAAAGTTAAAAAAAAACAGAGGGCAACAGGACGCTGTAATGATGAACACTCTTCTGGGACACTTAAACGGGCTAACAATTGCAAGGAGCAGGTCACCATGCGGCATATTGCAAACGATGTTCAAACAGGCCGATGTTCCAGGGCACCACGTTGCTAGCACGTGGTGGTGATAACGATACCAGAGGTAAAGAAAGCCTTTTGCATCATAGCTTAAAACGATGAATGTGTCAGCAAACCCTCATTACATTTAACTCGGGCAGAAATTAATTTCTAGAAATTGGCATACACTGATCTCCCGAAATGTTGTCTGATTACAAAGGTATGTACCATATTCGTGCATTATCTTTGCTTTCATCTAGTCTTTTTGCTGTGTACCGCTTTCACCCTAACCATTCTATCTGACTATCAACTGAGGTTTCACTCTTTGAAAGATATGAATAAGCCGGATGTGAGTTTGCGCACCACCTGCCCTGAAGTCTGTCTCATTTTCGTCTCGTAATCAGCACTGCAATAAGAAATCATGAAAGTTACCTCGATAGGGCTAGAGTGGCAGTACACATATTTAAACACTTACGACAAGATTGTCACAGATAGTGAAGTCATTACTATGTAGATCTTGAAAGGTATCTCACCTAGAATGAATTTTTTCAGATAGACGGGAGACGCACCTCGCCTGTCATCTGCGAGAACAAAAAAAAAAAAAAACTTGAGAATTCTATGAAATGTTTTTTTCGACCTAACAAAAAACATGGTTGGTAGACTTTACGGGTTCCTGTTATCCCTGAAAAGTGACTACGTTAGCTACTTGAGTACTCTTACTAGTTGCGCTGTTTCATAGGGACACTCCACCAAAACTGTTGTGCATAAATGCCATCAAAAGCGCACCATTTGCGCATCAGTTCGCGAGTGGGGTAGAGGAGGAGGGAGTGGGGCACAGCAAACCTTTTTTCATTCCTGAAAGATTGATTTGAATTTAGTCACTAAAGAAATAGCTTAAACAGACATTTAAACTGAAGCAGTAACAATTTACGGTAAATGTTGAATGACAATTTCAAGTAAATGTTAAGGTTTACAGACGAAAGTTGTAGGCAAGCGTCGTCGAAGTAGGGGTGTGCGAATTGCAAAGTTTTCAAGTTTAGTGCGCATATGGGAGAAACACTGTAACGACAAATCGAAGTTCGTCATTTCATTATGGAAGAAAAGGTCACTATCAGGTGCTTGATGTGTCCTAAAATCTGCAAAACAATATATGGAGAAAACTATTTGCTCACTGTCTTCATAATTCATTTCTCTGTAATAGACATTTTAAAGGGGCCCTGCAACACCTTTTTGGTATAGTCTGAAAACACTGCCGATCAATAGTTGAAGCCCCGGAGAACACGTGAGCGAAACATGGCACGCAACCTGAAATTTTCCATTCTCAGTCATCTAGTTATCGTTCTTTCATCTCGCTACAAATGATGCCGTATATCCAAAATGCCAATGTTATAAGCCCAAAGACCATTGTCACGTTGGTTCACTTGAGCATCGTGAGTTGCATAGTTACCGTGGCTGCCGCGTGATGCCGCCACATACCCGCGCGACAGCTCGCAACCACGCTGACAGCAAACCACGCGTTCGGAGCAAAAAAAAGTGCGCAAGGCCATGACGCGCGGTGACGGCGAGACGCATCTACTAGGCCCCCTTGTCATTCAGGTCCTGGCGCAACCATCAGCGCGCTTGCTTCTAGGAAACTAGACGGAACGCGCTTGAAACGTGCGACAAATGCCAAACTCCGTTCATACTTTACGAATTCCAAAAAATTTCGGCGACAGTTGAGGCAATAAGCTCTTAGTAAATTCATTCGACTATTACTGATAAAGTGTCGCAGGGCACCTCGCCGCGGTGGTCTAGTGGCTAAGGTACTCCGCTGCTGACCCGCAGGGCGTGGGTTCGAATCCCAGCTGCGGTGGCTGCATATCCGATGGAGGCGGAAGTCTTCTAGGCCCGAGTACTCAGATATGGGTGCACGGTAAAGAGCCCCAGATGGTCCAAATTTCCGGAAGGTTCCACTACGGCGTCTCTCATAATCGTATAACGCTTTTGGGACGTTAAACCCCACATATCGATCAATCGAATGAAATCAAAGTGCTGCAGGGCCTCGAATGTGGTTGAAGACGTTTTTTACTTGACTAAATAACGAACTTTTTAATAAGTTGAGATAGGTGGTCGAGTGAAATGCGAGAATCTGAGCCAAGAGCCTATTGCCGCATTGAAATTTCCCGAAACTCGTAGGTGCACGCCTCAACCCTGCCGTAAGGAATCTAACACTTATGCGCGTAACATTAGCCATTTCGAACCATCCCAGAATGCCTCTTGCAGTTCATTAGTGCATGGCCCTCAACGCCATAATTTTTCCTTTTGCGAATCAGCGAAACCATACGCATCCATAAGGCAACACGTGAGCCTACGCAGTGGCTCACTTTATACTTTCGCTGCTTATTAAATACAGGCGCCCTTCAATGAGTGGCCCTTCAACCCCATTTGTGCGATTCGCATGTTTCCACTAGTGGTGGTGCGAAAACTATTTCATGTTTCCACTCTGTGAGATTTTGCCCCATAACGTATTTTGCAGGGCTAGTTGGTGTGTAGCTGTGTAAAAGGTGGTTGGCGCAATCTTTAAAGACGAAACAAATGACACGGAAAAGCGCGCACTCGCAGCTGTACTGAAACCCTCACGCATGCGTACAACCACACGAAAAGCTCGAACAACTATAATCACAACGTATCAGATAAAAAAGCAAATTCATTATCATACAACGACAGGGACGGAACACAGATACTTTGGTCACTTAATTGCCTAATATACGTCGCCTCTGCCAATTCACGTGCCATTTCGTCTGCTTCTTCACAAGATTCTCGTGCAGTTCAGTAGCGGTTATCACAAGCACTCCTTACAATTATACGGCAATTGTGAATTCGTGCCGCTTCTCATTGACAGCACATTTTTCCTTAAGCGATCAATTATACATCGGGCCGACTCGCCAATGTACACCCTGCCAACCCAACACCTACCAAACAATTCAAAAAGTTTCGTGCTTCTTTACACAATCAGCACTTGGTGCGCCGAATGAATCGGCACAAATACGCGAAAGCCTACGAGGTGCCGAGAACACGACAGGGACCCCCAACGAGAGGCGACGTTCTTCAACAAATCAGCCACTATGTGTACATACGGAAGGACAAGAGGGCGCTTCTGTATTATTTCCTTTGTGGCTGAATCGCTGGTGGCATCATGTCAAATTTGTCTCAATAAAGCTTCACATACTGACGTTAACGCCAACGAAAGAAAATTCGCAGACACGAGCCTGGATGCTTGCACCCTGAAACTTTTTTCAAGAACGTGCTGGTAAAACCTGGTAAGAGCCAATTGTAAGCTCGTACTAGGAATAGTCTTTTTCACTACTTTAGGATGGGCGGAATGATACGACAAAAAAGCCTTCCGAGCACGAGGATGACATATTCAATACACGTGGTTTTCGTGAGGCAAACGTGACGCATGTAAAGTAGGATTCATGACTCATACTCTGCATGTGTATCGGTAGTTTTAGACAAGTTTGGAGCGTTTTGACCAGGGCTCAAGTTTACCCACGAGCTTCCTGTCTGTGACAAACTGCAGTTTTTAGATCATCTCATGCTTCACAAAAACCACGTCTATTGATGTGTCACCTTCGTGCTCGGAAGGCTTTTTGCCGTATCATTCCGCCCCCTCTAAAGTAGTGAAAAAGGTCATTGCTAGTACGAGCTTACAATTGGCTCTTCCAAGGTTTTGCCTCCACGTTCTTAGTGTAAAGAATGTTTTAGGGTACAAACATCCAGGCTCGTGTCTGTGGGTTTTCTTTCGTTGGTGTTAACGTCAGTATGTGAAGCTTTATTGAGAAAAATTTGACATGATGCCACCAGCGATTCAGTCACAAAGGAAATAACACAGAAGCGCCCTCTTGTCATTCCGTACGTACACAGAATGGCTCATTCGTCGAAGAACGTCGCCGCTCGTTTTGAGGTCCCTGTCGTGTTCTCGGCACCTCGGAGGCTTTCGCGTATTTTTGCCCGTTTATGTGGCGCACCAAGTGCTGATTGTGTAAAGAAGCACGAAAGTTTTTGAGTTGTTTGGTAGGTGTTGTCTACTTGATTCTACTCAGTTGTGGGAAGGTGTACATTGGCCAGTTGGCCAGATGTATAAATTATCGCTTAGAGAAAATGTGCTGTGAATGAGAAGCGGCATGGGTTCACATTTGCCGTATCATTGTAAGGAGTGTTCGTGATAACTGCTACTGAACTGCACGAGAATCTTGTCAAAAAGCAAAGACAAAGTGGCTCGTGAATTGGCAGAGGCGATGTATACTAGGCGATTTGGTGAACAATGTATCGGTGTTCCGTCCCTGTCATTGTATGATAATGAATTTGTTTTTTATCTGATAGTTTGTGATTATAGTTTATTTGTTTATTTATTTGATAATACTGTCAACCCTCATAGAGGGTCGTAACAGAGAAGACATACATAAAGAGTGTACAAGGCTTAAAGTTTGTTAATACCTTTACAACACTATGAAACTTGGTATTTTCTTAATTAGCAATTCAACATTCAAATAATAATTCGTTTGGGCTTTTCGTGTGGTTGTACGCATGCAAGTTTTGTAAGCATGCAAGAAAAAAATTGCAAGTTTTTCTACTGCAGGTCTTATTGCCAATAGAAACGGTGGGGCGATAGAAGGACGGTTTAGGTATAACTGGGTAGTAGACACATCGTTCATAAGTGTTTTGCATGGGTGCTGCTTCAGAGACATGATCTTGACTGCATAGTTGACTCCTATATACGTGCGCTGATAGTCTAGTGGCCACTTATCTGACTCTGCATAAAGGCTGTGAATAGGGCTGGTACAGAAGGCACCAAGTGCCAGCCGGATACCTAAGTGCTATACAGGGTCCAACATTTTCAGTGCTGTCCTTGAAGCTGACTGATATACTATGCATCCATAGTCTATGCGTGACAGAACCAGGCTTCGAAAGAGATATGAGACAGTGCCTGTCTGTCCCCCACGACTGATGCGATAAAATCTTGATTGATTGATATGTGGGGTTTAACGTCCCAAAACCACTATATGATTATGAGAGACGCCAAGCAGAGGGCGATAAAATCTAAAACGTTCATGGTCTTGAGACATTTTAACTTCAGCTGTTTTATGTGCTGGATGAAGGTGAGTTTGGAATCAAAAATTACACCAAGAAATTTTTGTTCTTTCGCGATGACTATGTTTTGTCCATTCATTAATATGCAGGGGTCAGGATGCGCACCTCGTCGTCTCGAGAAAAGCACACTAGTAGTCTTGTCAGTGTTAAACTTAAAACCATTCTCGTCAGCCCATTTTGCAAGTCGGTTAACACCTAACTGTATCTGGCGTTCGCATACAGTCAAGTTACACGATTTGAAACTAATTCGAATGTCGTCCACGTATACAGAGTACGATATTGCAGGTGAAATAACAGAGCGAAGAGAGTTCATTTTAGCTATAAATAGTGTGCAGCTTAATACTCCTCCCTGCGGCACTCCATTTTCTTGAAGAAATGTGCGTGATAACACAGTACCTATTCTTACACGGAACTTCCTTTCAGACGGGTAATCTTTTAGGATGGTAATCAACCAGCCACATATTCCGAAAGACAGTAGATCTTGCAGGATTCCGTATCGCCAGGCAGTATCATATGCTTTCTCAAGATCAAAGAAAACAGACAGAAAGTATTGATTGTGTACAAACGCGTCACGAATATACGACTCAAGGAGGAGAAGATTGTCGGTTGTGGATCTAGCTGTACGGAAACCAGACTGGAACGGGTCCAATATGCCGTTGTATTCCAAGTAATAGACCAAGCGGCAGTTAATCATTTTTCCAAACACTTTGAGTAGGCAGCTTGTGAGGGCGATAGGCCTGTAACTATTTACCGAAGAGGGATCTTTGCCCTGTTTAAGGATTGGTAGTACTATTGCCTCTTTCCAAGCAGAAGGTATTTTGCCGGTATTGAAAATCTTGTTGTAAAGTGCTAAAAGGCAGTTCAGGGTTTTATCAGGGAGATTTCTGATCATTTCATAGGTAATTCTATCAGAACCAGGAGCAGAACTTCCACAGGAACCAAGGGCAAGCTTCAGTTCATATAGTGTTAGTGGTTTATTGTATCCGTCTGATACAGACTTGTTCCGGCAAAGAGGTACACTTTCAGCTATGCTTTTGTGGCGTAAGAACTTAGTGGTA